AGCGTCTTCCCTGACCGCAAGGAAGTTCGCGGCCGCAGCCCACAGATTGCGACCGTGAAGTCAGCCCACGAACTCCCACCAGACAAAGACCAAAACGGTGACGCTTGAAGATGGCGGTCTCGAAGGAAAAGATCACGACCACGATCTTCCCCTGCTCGGCCGCTAACATGTCCGTCCCCCTGAAGTCTATAAATAGAGGACCTCTCCCCCATTTTGACAGAGTTTATTTTGAAATAGAAATTTCTGGTTTAGAGAGAGAGAAGTTGAAGGAAGGAGAAGAGGAGAAGTAGGAGAAGCTATAAGAGAGGAGTCATCTTCTTGAACATCAAGTCTTCCCCAAATTCTTCTATGTATCTTCTTTCCTCCTTTATGGAGTAGTCTCTTAAGGTACTAGGAGTTCGAAATCTCAAACCCTAGTTTAGGATTATTATGTAATGAATGAATAAGTTAAGGTTTTGAATGAATGTGTTTGTCTAGTTTATTTTAATGTTTCATCTACTTTAATTGTGCTTAGGTAAGTCGCCTTAATCTTCTCTACTAGCTTACTTGAGCTTCTACGTTGGGTATGGAGTTTTAGGGTTAGACGGGTATGTGCCATCTGGCAGATTAGGGTTAGATGAAATGAATAGGGTTTGTGGTGGACAAGGTGACCATACCCCTGCCACAAGAACGCCTCCTTAGATGGAACCCAGGATGAAACCTCGGTGTGGACGGTGGGTAGTACCCATTGAAATGAGCTACGTTCTTAAAGCCCCATATACATGAGCCTATACCGAGGTGAAAATGGGGGGTAGGTAGGGTGTACTCGGAAGTGTGTGAATAATCACGCAGACCCACGGAAAAGAGCTCATTCACCAAAATCGCTTAACCCAACATGTTTAGTCATTTGTATGATAGACCTAGGCTAGTGCAGGGGTTAGTTCCCCGATGTACATGCTTTTATCCTTGTTTATTCTCTCTACTAGCATTTTACTCCAATCCTCCAACACAACCCCTTAAACCGATCGGCTGGATAACAAAAACGTGGAAATTATGCTAGGGTACCGGGACCCGAGGGAATACAACATTGATTGACAGTATATGACAACACCACTTTAGGTTGAACTTGGTTTAGAATAGGGTAATTATTAACACGTGCAAACTACTGGCAATAACCTGTACAAAATGAATCGATCAAGCTTTTTGTCGCCGTTACCAGGAAACCTCGATAACAAATAGAAAACCATCGAGTTGTTAGTTTAGCCTTTATTTTCTTTATTTGTGTTTTTATTATTCATGTATGCGAAGAAGGGATTCTTTGGAGATATTACCTCTTGATACAGAAATCGAGGGAACCCTTCAAAATCTAAGAAGAGTTACAAGACCTAAACCTCCTCCAATGGCAGACCAACAACATCAACCTCAAGTTCTACCAAGGCCTAGAACAATGAGATCATATTCAAGTCCAAGTGTGGATAGTGTTCAATCCCCTATTCTTCACCCACCAGTGCCGGACAAGAACTATGAGATTAAGCCGGGCACAATCTTGATGCTTCAAAGTGCAGTTCAATTCAATGGGATGATGAGTGAAGGCGCCCACACACATATCAAGTCTTTCTACAAGTTGATGGATGGAATTAAGATAAACGAGGTTCCTCAAGAGGCAATCCGTATGAGGTTATTCCCGTTTAATTTAAATGGAGCGGCAAAGCAATGGTTAATTAACCATCCCCATCACTCCATCACCTCTGGTCAGATCTATGTGACATGTTCTTCGCAAGGTATATTCCACCCTATAAGGCGTCTTTAATGAGAAGCGAGATTACAATCTTCCGTCAAGAGGAAGATGAGCCATTGTTTGAAACATGGGAAAGGTTTAGATAACTTCTACTCAAATGTCCACACCACGATATTGACAATTGGTTGCAAGTGGAAAGCTTTTATAACAATTTGACAAGGGAGTCACAGAACCTCATCGATGCATCTAGTGGAGGTGCCATCAGGAACAAGAAAGTTGGTGAACTTCAAAGACTAGCTGAAGATATGGCCCTAAATAGCTAGGATTGGGGGGTAATGGAAGAAGAGAGATTGTGAAGAAGGGAAGTTTATTGAAGATCGAATAACCATCTTCGTTGGCGGCCCATATACAAGAACTCTCCAAGAAAATTTATCAAGTTGCATCATCTATGAAAGTCAATGGAAAGCAACTCATTAAATATGCTTGGTGTGGTGAGTCGAGACACACTATGGAGGAGTATAAGTCTATGATTGAGGCCTCACTTCAGTTTGAGCAAGCCAACTTTGTTGGAGGGAAATCACGAGGTAACAACCATATAGCTCTACGTATTATCCGGGTTGTAGAAACCATCCCAACTTTCTTTGGTCTTCTCCGACGGATAGAAAGCCTCCGACATTTCAATCACAAACTCCTATGCACAATGCTTATCCAAGGCCGAGTCAACCCTCATACCAAGGAGCTTATCAAGATCAAGGTCGACCCTCCGATGGTTGATTCTCTAAACTTTAAGTCTTGGTAGGTCAATTTGTTACAAACACCAACAAGAAGTTTGAGGCTATTGAAAAATTCATAGGGAGCACTACGACCAATTTCTCGAGTCTGTAAGTGGGTCAAATACAAGCTTTGCTTCAAAATTTTGAAACTCAGCTAAGCTCACAAACTCTATCGTCAAGACCACAAGGAACCTTACCGGAAAATATCAAACTTAATCCTAAACAGGGGTGTAACGCGGTAACTCTAGGGAGTGGCCGGCCTTTAAAGGAAGTTCATATTCCAACCTCGAGGATATCGGTTAGGGAGGCTCAAAGAGAAGTTGTGCAAGAAGAAGAGATAGTTCAGGAAGAAGTGCAACCCTCGATTGAAATCAAGATTGAAGATGCCGAGAACTAAAGAAGACTCAAGTACCTAATTCAACACCAAATGCTCCTTATCCTAGACGTTTATTCAAAAGTTATTTAAATCATGAATGTGCTTTATGGAAGGATATCTTGAAGCAATTTAAGGTAAATGTTCCTTTCTTAGACATGGTTATGAAAATTCACAAATATACAAAATTCTTGAGAGAGATATTGTCAAGAAAGAGGAAGTTGGAAGAAGTCTCTATGGTCTCCATTAGTGAAGTTGCTTCAGCATCCATCGTGTGTGAAGGCTTCCCTCGAACGCTAAGAGATCCGTGAATTTTCAATATTCCATGCACCTTCGGAGTCAAAACTTTTTGGAATTCGCTAGCAGATTTTGGGGTCTAGTATCAATATTATGCCTACAAGAATATATAATGAGTTAGACCTTGGACCACTCATGCCTACTAAAATGTGGATTGAGATGGCCAATAGGTCCGTTGTCGAGCAAAGGTGAATCATAGAAAATATCTTGGTGAAATGTGGTCATTTTTTATCTTGTGGACTTCGTGGTTCTCGACATGGAAGGATATGATGCATCGATAATCCTAGGATGGCCATTCTTAGCTACGTCAAGGATCATTATCGATGTGGGTGGGAGAAAAATCACCTTAAGGTTTGCAGAGAAGGAGATAAGCTTCAAGGTAACTCCAACCCCCAATTTTCACAAGTACTACAAATGGGAAGATGTGAAGATGGATTGTGAGCCGATCACACCACCTTCAAGCATCGAGATAGAATGATTCAATATGTTCTCTCATGTTGATTCTCAAGATAGAAGAGTTGAAGGTATGGATGATTCTTGCAAGCTTAAGAAGAGACTTGGGAAATGAAAGTTTCCTTTTAAAAGGACTTTTTAAGAGTCGTTTGAAGTCTCTCTCAACAAGCCAAGAAAAATAGAAGGGAACTTAGAAGGTTCATCGTTGAAGAAAGATACCCCAAGAGAAGAATTCAAGACAAGACGAAGAAACGCAATATGAGCAAGCTATCTCCTATTCTCAAATACGAAGAATCCAGGGAATGCTATAAGTTATTCACGGATGAGGACACTTGCACAAGGGAGTCTAATCTCCGAGAAACCACTGTGTAGGACGAAGAACGGCCCAGTACTTTGATGACAAGGGCTGACCGAAGCTTCCTGCGGAAAAGGGAATATTAGGGCAAAGAGGGTCGTCATCTTTCTCCATTCCGTCTTCTCTGATGGCCGCCGCGACATCCTCCGAATCTGAGTCGGCTATGTACCACTCGTCAGTTTTTCAACAGGTCGCTGAAAAGTCGACGTGCTGCTCCTGTACTAGACGTCCAGGTCGGCGGTGGTGGGCTTCGTGATCCCATACGCTTCTCCTCCGTCGCCGGTGCGTACTCCAAAACAACATCATAATCACTATCAAGTTGTATCCCCTGAACCGTTTGTTTGGCCCTTTTTAGCTCTAGTGAGCTTCCCTATCACCCTTGGAATCCGGGGAGGATGAGGCAGATGGAGGCCTTCGTTGACCAGCGAGATTATCAAAAGAAGAGCGCGGGAGGCCCCCTTAGGCCAGAGGCGTAGCCACCGCCGGCATGAGCTGAAGCGAAAACCCTAGCACACACAATTGTTGTTCCCGTTGCTCCTAGACTTGCGGAGCGAAGAAAAAACGTTTCTTTAGAATGGAAATTCTTTCCTAAGAAGTAAAAACGAAATTGAGAGTTTTTAATTAAAATTTGGTTTTATGGAGTCATGGAGTAGTTAGAACGAAAGAAGAAGCAACGAATATGCAACTCAGCAGCAGTTCCATTACAGCAATTAAATTATTATAATAACATCATCTGTTGAATTAAAAACAGATATTAGTCTTTTGTTTTATTGTTTAATTCTCGAGATTAACAGCAGATAATCAGATATTAGTTAGAATAAAAAACCTATTGAGGAAAATCATTATTATTTTTTAATTCTGTCTATGAAACTGTGAAAAGAAGTAACAAATTACAAACAGAACCTGCAGTTATCGCGTGTCAAAATAATTTAAGTAGAGAATAATAAAGAAAAACAAGAATGTAAAGGAAAGGAAAGGTCGTATTTTGACCACCAGCAGCAGCACCACCGTTTCTTCCCTTCTTCCTGCTCTCTTCCTCCTCCGTTTCCTCTTCCTGCCTTTTTTTTTTCTTAAAACAAAAACTAACAAAACCAGAAACCCAATCATCTCCAAGCGTGTTTCTAAATATATACGCCCGCCACTCTTTTCCAATTGGGCACATTTCCATGATCTGCACCTCAAATTTCCATACTTAAATCGCTGACTTCTCCTTTCTTGGTTTGTCGATCCTCTGATCCCTGCCGCCGACCATGGGGCTTTGCCTCTCCACAACCAAGGTTACTGGCTCCAGCAGCAACAATCATCACCACAAAAACAACGGCGCCGCCGGAGGAGGAGGAGGAGGGGTAGCAGGCGGTGTCAAGGCCAGCGCCACAGGGGCGGCGGCAAAAAATAAACAGAGTTCGTCAGCGGACAACAACAACAATCATTATAATACCAATGAGAAGAGGATGAGCCGAAAACAGCAACCGGAACAGCAGAAACAAGTGAAGTTAAAAGGGAAGCAGAGTTCGAGGAGGGGCAGTGGGGCAATTCCGTGTGGAAAGCGGACGGATTTTGGCTACGATAAGGAATTCAATAAACGGTACACGATCGGGAAATTGCTGGGTCATGGCCAATTTGGGTACACGTATGTTGCTACTGATAAGGAAAACGGAGATCGTGTTGCAGTCAAACGGATTGACAAAGGCAAGGTAGTGCCACTCTGCTTTCTTCTCTTTCACAGTTGTGATCTTGTTCCTCGTTCTAGTTTTTGAGGCTTCAATGGGTCATTAATGAATCTGGGTTTTGCTTAGATTTCGTTTCTTACTCCATTTATATTAAGTTAATAATATGTCCTGCTTTCTGAGGGAAATCTAACTGGGAATTTGTGGTCACTATTGAGATTTAAGATCGGCAAATTGGGCGGGGAATATTTCCAATTTTGTACTTGAAACATCAATGTTTTGGATTGCTAAGTAGATCCTCTTTAGGTGCTTGTTTTAGATATGATTATTCACTTTAGAGATACTTTTGATAGGGTATAAGACGTTTGTTCCTTCGGAGAGAGTTCATTTTACTTTCCCGATTTGAGCCAGTCTACCTTGCTGTGATATACCACCTTTAGCATGCCACCGTACTGCATCCGTCCTAAAGACTGGGTTAAGGTTATCTGTTTTACTTGGAAGACTCTGCTGTCTTCTATCAGATTAGTCTCAGGGCGCAGATCCTATCCAAGTTTAGCAGAAAAAAGAGAAAACTGTTTCTACTAGCTCCTGTGTGGGGCCCATTGCATTGAGGATTGGCAGTTTCAGCTCTCTCCTACTGCCTTTTTCCTGTTGGCCAAAGGCATTGCTGTAGTGTAAAGCAAACGATGGGGATTACATATGACGGTTGAACTTTTGATGGGTGAATTTGAGATACTAGTATCTAGAATCTGTCTAAAGGATGAATGACAGTGGTTGATGCTTTGGTTGATTTAGATATGGGGGTTTGACTCTAGCTATAACCTCTTTTCTTCGTCTTCATTAATAAGTAGCATACTTGTTTAATGCTCTTTTTCTCATTGCTCCTTGTGTTGATGATAGATGCTTCTTCCTGTTGCTGTTGAAGACGTCAAAAGAGAGGTCAAGATTTTGCGGCAACTTGCAGGGCATGAGAACGTGGTCCACTTTATTAATGCATTTGAGGATGATTCATATGTATATATAGTTATGGAGTAAGTTCTGCATTTCTTGTGATGACAACTTCTTTGCCATTGATTCTCTTAGGAGAAGCCTGTAATACTCTGGTTGGGTATGTTCACTATCATGTTCTGGTTCTCTAATCTATCCTTGCACTTGTTTAGGTTATGTGAAGGTGGTGAACTGCTAGACCGAATACTGGCCAAGTAAGAAATCTGATCTCCAGAAATTCGCTGGAGTAATTATTTTTATATGATTTTTCCTGGTCTGATGTTTTGGTGTCTTGATAAAGAAAAAGTTGAACACGGTTTTTCTTTTGACATTTTATTTATGACTTCTTGCTACTCTCCTCTCAGAAAGGACAGCCGTTATTCCGAGAAAGACGCAGCAGTTATTGTAAGGCAGATGCTTAAAGTAGCAGCTGAATGCCATTTACATGGTTTAGTCCACCGTGATATGAAACCTGAGGTATAGCCAGTATTTTGACATATATGACATCCTTATTGGCATTCTGAGAAGGAAATAATGTAGTATGGACAGTCAAATTTCTTATCAGCTCTTTCCATGTTGTGTCCCTCTAGAATTTTCTGTTCAAGTCAACCAAAGAGGACTCAGTGCTGAAGGCTACAGATTTTGGTTTGTCAGACTTCATAAAGCCAGGTGAGTGGTGTTTCGGTCAAGCTAAGAGGTCACTATTAGGCCAAGGCCCTTCTGATGGCCTCAGTCAGTAATCTTGGAAAAACCATAATTATTATTACATTTTATTTTGCTGCAGGAAAGAAATTCCATGACATTGTTGGCAGTGCTTACTATGTTGCTCCTGAAGTCTTACAACGGAAGTCTGGACCTGAATCGGATGTCTGGAGCATTGGTGTCATTACATATATTTTGCTCTGTGGAAGGCGGCCCTTTTGGGATAAGACCGAAGATGGTATTTTTAAGGAGGTACAGTACCGATCTTAATTTTGATACCGGCCCTTCTGCTTTTCCGTTTTCTTGTGTTGTAATTTAAGGAAGATGTGCAAAAGACAAGAATTTTCTGAGGGATTACGAGTTCATCAGCATGAACATGACGTTCTGTACTCAAGACATACCATACTAATGTTTCCGAACTTTTAAAGCTATGGCTAATTGATGCTGCAACTCCAGTACTACTCACCCAGAAATGCTCAATATCATGCTGCTGATATTCTCTGAATGATTCAATTCACTTTAGTTGTACTCAGTGGACCATTTTATATTAATCCACTTGGTTTCCATGTCCTCTATTTAACTGCATTATCTCTCTTACTAGTATTATTAGTTCAGTTCACTAATGCTTAAATCTTGCAGGTCCTAAGAAACAAACCTGATTTTCGCCGCAAACCATGGCCAACCATAAGCAACAGTGCCAAAGATTTTATTAGGAAGTTGCTTGTGAAAGATCCGCGTGCTAGACTTACAGCTGCTCAAGCTTTGTGTATGTTTTCTTCTCTCTATATCTTATCCCAAAATGTGGAGAAACAGCGATATATTAACATGTTAAGTGTTAGTGAATGCATGTCCTAAATCATCTGTGAACATAGTTAACCAGTTGCCCATGTATACAAATGCAATCGCTTTGCTCGAAGTTCTTATGCCTTTTAGCTTCTTACAGCACATCCATGGGTCCGAGAAGGAGGAGATGCATCTGAGATTCCAATTGACATATCTGTTCTGAAGAACATGAGGCAATTTGTGAAGTACAGTCGCTTGAAACAGTTTGCTCTCAGGGTAAGCTTCTATTTTCGATTCTCGGCTATTAACAAGAATATGATGTTTTATCACTTTCTTCCCTCTTTCTAATATTATGCTTATCCCATTGCAGGCATTGGCTAGCACACTTGGTGAAGAGGAGCTGGCTGACCTTAAGGACCAATTTGATGCAATTGATGTAGATAAAAATGGGTCTATCAGTCTTGAAGAGATGAGGCAGGTGGGTATCAAGTCTATGAGTTAAACCCTTGACAGTGCTATATGTTGCTTTTCTAAGTACTTGGCAACTGATCATATGGGACCCTCATACATGCAGGCACTTGCTAAGGATCTACCCTGGAAGCTGAAAGAGTCGCGTGTTCTAGAAATTCTTCAAGCAGTAAGCCTGTTTCTCTCCCTTCCACAGTTCCACTTCAGAGTATATTTAGTGGGTTCCCTCAGTGAATCGATGTAGCACTTTTGTTTGTGTTCATTGTTTTCCTAGTAGGGTGTCTTGCTTACAAGCACCCGAGAACATGGTAGTTATTAACTTATGGAGAAACTGATTCCCCTACCCTAATTTCTTTAATAACCTTGTGGGTGCAGATTGATTGTAACACGGACGGGCTTGTTGATTTCTCAGAGTTTGTTGCAGCTGCTCTGCACGTGCATCAGTTGCAAGAACACAATTCTGAGAAGTGGGAAGAACGTTCCCAGGCTGCTTTTGACAAATTTGACATTGATGGAGATGGCTATATAACCCCTGATGAGCTTAGAATGGTAAGACATACCAAGTAACTAATAGAAAATACTGAAAGAGATTTTAAGAGGGAAAGAGTGCTGGAAATGATTTGGGTTTATTGTTGCAGCATACCGGATTAAGGGGTTCAATTGACCCGCTCCTTGAGGAGGCAGATATTGATAGAGACGGCAAAATAAGCCTTTCAGAGTTCCGCAAACTTCTAAGAACCGCAAGCATGGGGTCAACAAATCTGCCGAGTCCTTCTGGTCATCGCAACTCTCGGCGCGTCTAGAAGACCGAATGGAGAATTTGGCGATGAAAAGAAAATCATGTCATTGTTCTTCTTTTCTGGAAGTTGTTCATGCTGAGGATGCTCAAATCAGAAGCGGGGCATCTTCTATTTTCCAGTTCGAGTTGCAGTTGCAGTTGCAGAGGACCTCTTTACGAGACTCCTGTTGCTTAAATGGCAAGCAAGGATGGGATGTGAGTATTTGAGAGGATGAGCCCGGGTGTAACGAGTTAAAAGACGGGAGGGAGGGGTTGGTTTCTGTAAAAAATGGGGGAAATTAGGTGGCTTTTTTTATAAGAAACAAAGAAGAAAATATACACGGGGAAAATGGCATCTTGTGTAGCGAAGGTGGCGGGGTTTGTGTTAGTACAGACTACTTATCAAATGTCAATGAGAGCTTAGGATTTAGAGTTGAGATCAATTAAGGTGGTTGGCGTGTATCTATTTTTGGCACGGCATGTATGGAGAACACTGAGTCACATGCAAGAACAAAAATCCCAGGCCCGATTCTCAAACTCGAATTCAAAGATTAGGCAAAATACAGCTGTATATCCACAACTATCAGGTTTGTGACAAATATATCCACAACTATCGAAATACACGAAATATTCATTTCCGTCCACTCCGTTAACTCCGTCAGTTAACTTGATGACTGGACAGACGGTAGATTCTTAGTTGGCGTGCTTCTGGCCCCACTAAATGACGTGGATTAAAAGAGGGGAAAAAATTCGGCAAAATACAGTTGTATATCCACAATTATCAGGTTTGTGACAAATATATCCACGACTATCGAAATACACGAAATATCCAAAAATCGGAAGGTTGTGTAACAAATCTATCCACTTTCGTTTGAAACTATAACGGCATGTCAGACGGCGTTAAATTAACTAACAAAATGTTGAATCGATGTCATCTCACCTGCCATAAGCCAAAAAACAACCAAACTTTACACGGTTATCTGTTAGACCTCGATGCTGTAATCTTCTCTGTTGGTGATTTGGTTAGATTCAAACTTGGTATCAAGTTAACTGAGGGAGTGGACGGAAATGGATATTTCGTGTATTTCTATAGTTATGGATATATTTGTCACAAACCTGATAGTGGTGGATATATTTGTCACAAACCTGATAGTTCTGGATATACAGCTGTATTTTGCCTTTATTCAACTAGCCTATTTGGCATCTACGTGTAAAGTTTGGTTGCTTTTTGGCTTATGTGGCAGGTGAGCTGACATCGATTCAGCATTCCGTTAGTCAATTTAACGTCGTCTGACACGCCGTTATAGTTTCAGATGGAAGTGGATAGATTTGTCACACAACCTTCCGATTTTTGGATATTTCGTGTATTTCGATAGTTGTGGATATATTTGTCACAAACCTGATAGTTGTGGATATACAGCTGCATTTTGCCTTTAATAAAATATATAACTCTGATTTACCAAGTATACTGCCGTAAATCACTTGGGGGTCGTTTGGATCCAGAAATGTGGGTAGGGATTCGGCCCAAATCCTGGCCCGTCCAGGAATTTAACCCATTCTCCTGTTTGGATAGCTAAAAAAAAGGGGCGAGATTTGGCCACCAGGTTTTTGAAATTCGGCCCAGCCCGGAATTAAAAATAGCTGCTAACCCCCAAGTATTTTAAAATCCGGCCCCAATTTTTTTGTTTCTTCCCAGTTTGTCCCTGCGTGGCTGCGAGAGAGATGACCGACGACGATGTGTCCCTGTGTGGCTGCGTCCCAGCGTGCCCAGAGCCAATCTCGCCGGAGTTAGACGCAAGAGAGACGACTAACGACGTGAGAGAGACGACCACCACCACATCCTCGTCCACCGCCGCCCCCGACTCATCTCCTTTCTCATCTTCCTTCGCCGCACTCCGCTTTCTTCCCCTGCGCCGGTCAGCGAAGAATTCAGATCTAGAACCTGAATTTAGATCTGCGACAGCCCACAGTCTGCCTCCAACAGAGCTTTGCCTTCCTTCACCAATCGCATCCCCTGCCACTTCCATTCAAGCTTCAGCTTGCATATTGCGTATTTGGTTTCTAATTACAGAGATTTTTTAATTATGTGAATACAGAGCAAAGCAGAGAAGAGATCAAATTAACCAGCTCGATGATACCTGCATCGGAACGAACCCGGGTGCGTCATCGGTGAACACACGCACCACCTCATCCCATTTCCGTCGGTGCCGCCACCCTCCTCGTCGGTGACAACTCTCACTGCCGCCTCCCCTGCATACCCTCCCACACGACCATCAATCCCTTGCACCATCACCCATCTCCGACCCATCATCACCACATGACGATGATGGCCGCCGCGAGGAAGAAGAGAAGTGAGGGCAGTGATTGTTGCCCTTCCGCCGTCCAAGCCCGTAGAGGAAGATTCGGGTTAGCCGGTTGCCTCTCCCGACTCTATAATCAAAGCCTGGGAGCTCATGGATGGCCTCGACGATGGTAGTGTGGACTCTGATTTGGGGAAATCTCATTCTAAATGATGAATTCGTTTTGGGTTGAAGAATTAGGGATTTTGGACCAACTAGAGAAAAATTAGATTCGCTGTTGAAGTCGTTATGGAAGCATTTCTCGGAGTCTTCTACGGCGGATGAACCAGTCTCCGCAGCCGACGGCGACGACATCATGCTCTTCTTCACGAGCCGGCGAGAGGGTTCTTCGAGCAATTCATCTACCTCCAAAGATTGGTCTACTTCCAGCCGGCGGGAGGGTTCTTCGAGGCATGCGGCAAGCTCCGGCTAGAGAAGGAATCGATTTGGGTTTGGGGTTCTTTGAGGCTTGCAAATCAACATGCAATAGGTTTGGGCTCTGGGTTCAACGAAATCAGCGTTAAGATTGAGGGGCGAAAAGAGGAAATAGCTAGAGAGATGCGATTGACGGATGCAGCAAGCTGCCATTGAGAGGAGCAACAGTGGGAAGGTAGAAGAAAAAGATGGGTTAGGGAAGAATATTGGGGTTGTTGTCTACGAAGAAGAGTAGCAATTAGCAAAGGGCAGAGTTGTATTTTGGCATCTGCCATAAAACGTTAAATTGCTGCCTAAGAAATCTCGGGCCCGTAAACAAACGAATAAATTGTTAAAATCTTGCACTTTAAATACCCGTGTTTTATAATGAGGAAATTGGATCCCAAATCCCTCACATCATAATTCTAGATCCAAACGACCCCTTGAAGTTTTGCTATTTAGATAATGAATTTATTAGAGTTTGGAACATGATATGATAGAGGAAGGATTTGGTAACTAAGGATGTACTTAGTGTCTTAGTCCCTTGACTAAGTCACTCCCAACCTTTAGATTGGTAGACACCAATCTGACGGTTCAAAACTGGGAAAGACTTTTTAATTAATGACATGAGTAGTTTGCTATTATGGAAAATTACGAAATATACAAACCGGATTTACAAACAGTACAAACCATACGAACAATACAAATTAAAGCGACAAAATATATAAACAATACGAAACATACGAACTATACAAACAATACAAACTACACTGACAAACATGACAAAACATACTAACAATACAAAATGCCACTACTTACAATACAAAACAGTAAACTTGTATTACAAAACAATGAATACAAAGTATACAAATCACAATATAAAAGTATACAAACTAGACAAACAAACATTACAAATTACAATGTATACAAATTAGTCATATAAACATTACAAACATAATAGATAAAAATGATAAACGATACAAACCAAATTGATACAAAATCACAGAACATATTTACAAACATTACAAAATCGTCCGACAAACATAACAAAACAAACGTTGTTGTCGGAAAATTCCCCATCGCCGAAAAATCCTCTCTCTCTATCTATATGGGGAACAAAAAATCACAGGCCACTCTTTGGGAATTTTTCCCAGGTCCATGGAGGAAGCGACGCCAGCCAAAAAACCTGGCCGGCGGAGGAACGCTGGAGGAATCCGTGACCGGCCCGGCGGAAGGCGGAGGAATGCGGGAGGGAGGATTGTTTTTTAAGTGTTAAATAAGTAAAATATGAAATTACCACTCTATGATTCATTAAATTATATTATTTAAAGCCATTAGATGGGAGGAATGCGGGAGGGAGGATTGTTTTTTAAGTGTTAAATAAGTAAACTATGAAATTACCACTCTATCATTCATTAAATTATATTATTTAAATTTAAAGCCATTAGATTTAAATGAGATTGTATGGATGAGATGTACTTAGTCATATGACTAAGGGGATCCCATTTAGTGACCTGATCTTAACCCTGATATCATACAATAATTTTTAATGGGTGAATCGTAGGGGTTAAGATCAGATGACTAAAATGGGGTCCCTTAGTCACATGACTAAGTGAATCTCTACTCTTCAACCTCATTTAAATCTAATAGTTCATATTAATTTCATTTAGTGAAAGACAAGATGGTAATTACACAAATTATTTATTTAAAATTAAAATAAAATAAAAAGTGGGTTGTTGACGGTTGACCCTTCCACGCTCTCGTCGGCCGTCTGTTTCCCGACAACTCCCGTCGACCGACCGCCTGAGAATTTTTCCCCTCCCCGATGTCCCTGTCCTGGAGATTTTTGCCCCAAGCTCTTGTAGAGATTTTTTTGTGCAGAGAGAGAGAGAGAGCGCTTTTGCGGCATCGGCAAGAATTTCCCGAAGTCGGAGAGAATTTCCGGCCGCGACAAGATTTTTTCGCGATAGTTTTGTAATGTTTGTCGTTCTATTTTGTAATATTTGTAAGTCTGGTTTGTAATGTTTACAAACAACTCAGTTTGTATTGTTTGTCACTTTTGTCTTTATATTTGAAATGTTTATATGACTATTTTGTACGGTTATGATGCTTTGTACTCTTTGTTCGTTTCTTTTATAATGTTTGTAAACTTTGTTATTTTGTAATGTTTGTCGGTTTCTTTTGTAATGTTTGTAACCTTTGTTATTTTTGTCCACCATGTTTGTCATTTTTGTCATCCATGTTTGTGATGTTTTTTATGTCTAAAAAACAATCTGGTTGACTTTTGGATGAAACTCTTCTATATAGAGATGGAGCCTCCAAAGTCAACCCGGGGGTTTTTCCATTTTGTATGGTTTGTCAGTGGGTAAAATACCTCGGGTGCCACTTAAGTTTGAAAATTGGGGTAGACATACCACTTAACTTTGAATAGGGCGACGAGTACCATTAAAGTTGCCAAAATGTGCATCCGTCCACTTTTCCATCCAACCCAAACTTTTAATTACTCTTTGACACCCAAAACTTTTAAAATCATCCAAAACTATATTTCAACAAATTTTATATAATATAATGATTAGAAAACCTTCTAAACATATTATTACTAGAATGACTAATCAAAATATTTCAATAAAATAGATAAATTAGTAAAAATAGTAAATGAATATCAAGAATAATAATAAATATGTTAGAATATAATAATAAATATTTAAAATAAATATTATAATATCTATTTAAAATAAATATTATAATATCTATTTAAACCCCATAATTCAATTAGAAGCACCATTAGAAATAGTTAAAATAGTTTCACCTAAACAAATAGTTAAAATAAAACCAAATCAATCATCAATACATCAAAATAAAAAAAGATAAATAGAAAACAATTAGAAAGAATTAAACATATTTCACTAATTGAAAAATGTAAGAACGAAAAGAGGTGAAAAGTAACCAAGTAATAAACAAAATATAAAAGCCACAATATTCGATAAAAAATATAGAAAAGAAAATATAACTATAAAAGCTACAACATTGTTTAGTTACAACATTCATGGAATAATTCATTTATTAAAAATATTATAATGATAATTGATCTAAAATTTCTATTCAAAAATTGGTTCTGTATCATGTATTCAAAAAAGGATTATAACTAAACAATAAAAAATAATATTTTTCATAAGTCCAAATAATTTTTTTACAATCAGAAAAGTAGAATTACCAATTATGAAATTTAGAAAACGGAATATTCCAAGAATATTATGTTAACTTTAACGGAATGCAATTAAGAGTAAACTTAAATGGTACCGGGTGCACATATAATAGAGTTCAATGATACCCGATGCCCTATTCAAACTTAAGTGGTATGCCTACCCCAATTCTCAAACATAAGTGAAACCCGAGGTATTTTATTTTTTTTCATTTTGTATGGTTTGTATTGTTTGTCGTTCTAGTTTGTATTGTTTGTATAGTTTATATGTTTAGTATTATTTGTAAATCTATTTGTATATTTTGTTGTTTTAGTTTGTAATGTTTATATGTATGTACTGTTTGTAAGTTTGGTTTGTATACTTCGTAATTTTTCATAATACACAAACTACCCCTGTCATTAATTAAAATCCCTTCCTGCATTTTAACCGTCAGATTGGTGTGTCAAGACCTAAGGGCTGGGAGGGGCTTAGTCAAGTAACTAAGCGCTCCCCCCAGTCATGGGATCCGGACCCTGAATCGTAGTCCATAATTCTATAAAATAAAATCATAAAATCAATTTAATTAAGAATTAATAAATGGCAATTCCAATTTGTCAAAAATAAGAATCAATAAATACGAATGTAGGTATATTCTATTTAAGACGCATACTAGCACTAGCGATAGATATGTATGTCAATGTCGGACCAAAGTTAACTGTCAGCCATGGCAGTTGAGGGTGAGTGGCTGGGGGAGAAGTGGACCGAAATCTGAACTGGCTGAAAGTATAAAAAAGTTTAGTTGAGACATCAACGCGGTTTAGTGGGGACACGAGCTTGAGAGACTTGGAGAAAGACTGAGACAACTGGGCGTGGTCGTACTTTGAGTAAATGGTATTTACTATTTAGAATGGAGAGTTGTTGGTTGCAGGAAGAATCTTCCAAGAAAGCACAATCAGTGGCGGACCTAAGGTAAGGGAGGGTCCGACACACGCTCGACCGAGAATTTTGTGAAGGACCTACATATTTTAGGTACAAAAGTTTTAAGTTCGGGACTTCAGACAACCCTTTGATAATTATAGCCGACACAACTTCATTAGACTACAAGAATTTTATTATTTAAATGAATCCTAATTAACAAAATTCATTTTTAATTTGTTTAAAATAACTCATAATCATATCAATTGCTATTAAAAGACCCCACAAGCCATACCAATATACATTTGTGCTGGGATTGATCCTTTCATTAATGGAAAAACAAAAAAATCACCAAAGCCCAAGCGACCACTGTCGAGACTCACCAGAATACTTGCTTTTGAAGTTGAAATGACTTTATATGTTGAAATGCAAGCTGCGAAAGAGCATTTTCAGCGATGAATATAAGAATGAACGATCTTCGAAATCGGTTGGGTGACAAATTTATGAATGATTGTTGTGTATATTTGAAAAAGATTTGCTTTGTAGCATAAGTGATGAATGTATTTTAGAGACATTTAAGTAGATGAAAAGTCATCTTGATTCGTTGTAAACATGACATTGTGAACTTTATAAATTAATATCTATTATAATAATTTTTAATTTAATTTTTATTTATTATCCTATTTTATCGGCGACACACCTCTCCGAAAATCCTGGGTCTGCCACTACGCACAATATATCTGTGAGATGAGTGAGACAACTCCATTTCCATGGGCGAGTCATAAAACATTAATTAATAAAAAATAAAAAAGAACGCCAACTCAGAACGGTGGTTTAATAGTACGTAGGTCATACCGAAAAAGAGAACGATAGGGTATATTGTACTAGAACGGTGGTTTAATCGTGATTGAACCTTTTTCTACCGCTAAAACCGCCAACCGTTTTGTCCGGTTCTGATATCCAGTATTTTCGGTTCGACCGGCCAGTACGGACTACGGTAGGGTTTCCTAAACCTAGGCTCAATGTTGATAAATTATTATTAGAATCAATTCTATTATTTTTTTAAAATGTCTAGGTAGATTTCTTAATCATCCATATTTGCATAATTAGATCTCAATTTTTTGTCAAAAGTCAGTTCATTAACACTATGTTCATGAAAGAGGATACAAAAATTTTGGAAGGAAGGGAAAATTTATAGGGAATAAAAATTTGAAGGTGGTGAAATGAGGAGGGGAAAATGATGTTCATATTTGAATAGGAGAAGAGAAAAATAGACACAATAGGAAGAAGAGTTTTCAACCCAAATTGTAGGGGAGAGGGGGGTGATTGCTACAATAGTTTTCCCCACAAATAATCACTCCTCATACTATAGCAAACTTATGAACAAGAGAAAATTCCTTGATCCCAAAAACTTCTCCTAATTTTCTCCCTCATCCCTATTTTTCTTCCTTGCTAAACATAGTTGTAAGTAAGCAAATCAGCCAGGTCCACACGATGAAGATATAAGCAAAGCTAAAACACGGGTTCAGAAACCCAAACTCAAGGCCCAAAAACAAATGGCCGGAACCTAATAGGGCCCGAAATCAAGGACCAAACCATAGTCCCAATCTCCAAACCCTAGTCGTCATTGCCCCCTCTGAAGTCATCCAACACTGTAGGACGAAACCCCCTCCACCGAAAGATGCACCAAGCAAACGCCACCACCGGCCGGTCACCGCCACGGGACAACAACGGACCTGCAAAGTGCTAGGCAAGAGAGCCGGCTCCAAACCAACCCGGATGGAGGGCGGCGGACAAGAACCCACCACGACCTCAACAACATTCATATATACCAACCACGAACATGCATTAGAAAGAATGGGCAGACGTCGAAAGGAACTAGAGGGTTTATCATCTGTCTCCAATCTCACAAACCTGAGTCTATAGGTGTCAAAACATAACCCGACCCATAACCCGACCCATAACCCGACCGTAACCCGAATTGACTAAAAGTCAACGAACCGTAACCTGTCCGACCCGCAACCCGACTGACCTGCAACCCGACTGAACCACAATCCGATTAAACCCGAACCCGATTAACCCGAACCCGATTGATCCGAACCCGACTAACTCGTAACCGGACCAACGCAACCCGAACTTCACCTAATCCACTTGAATAATTATTATATTATACAATACATAGTTTTTCAAAATAAAGTTTTCATTCTAAACTTAGGTAAAATTATTATTTCATTTCGTATAGGGAATTTAAAAAATCTGAAACTCATGCAATATTATGTATTTTAAGAAAATTACAAAAAATAAACATGAACGTAACTTAAACATTAAGTTCTTTAGCATAATTAAAAAAGTAAATATGAAATAAAAATCAGCAGAATGTCAATATTAATAATAAATAATTGAGATCATGTACAATATTAATATAATATATATATTAAAATGTTGGTTAATTTAACTATTCAATAAAATTATCAATTACATATAAATAAATTAAAGTAATTTATTTAGTAATTTGATGCTTTTAATAGAAGAGGGAAATTTTGGTGTATTCAACTTTTTGAGAAGAGAAAGAAGAGAGAAATTTGGTTATTTGAATTTTTGAGAAAAGAAACGAGAATGTTGGTGGTTTTCATTTGTGGGAAGAGAAAGAAGTGAAAAAGTTTGGTTCTTTTGATTATGAAAGAGAAGCAAGAAGGGAAATTTTGAGTTTTCAACTTTCTATGTAAGGAAGAAAGAGGGAAATTTGGTTTTTCAATTTTATTGAAGAGAAAGATGAGAGAAATTTGGTTCTTTCAATTTTATGGAAAAGAAAGAAGAGGGAAAATTTAGTGTTTCTAATTTATGAAAAGAGAAAGGAGAGAAATTTTAGTATTTTAATTTAATTTTACAACACTTCGTAAAATTTTGGCACATTTAAGTTGTGTTCGTGTTGAACTTTTATTTCAAAATGGGGGTTAAACTTTGCATGTTAAGTCATATGATTGCAATAACTCAGTTATGTTGCAGGTTTGAGAATTTTGGTTAATCGAGTTGCGGCCTTGCGGGTCACTTTGGAATGGGAAATGAGAGGGAGGTTTGGGTGGGAACTTTGGAATGAAAAATTTACGAGCGGGTGAAAATTAGCCAACAATTATACTAAACTTGATAAGTAATCTTTGACGGTTCGTTGTTTAGGATATAAAGGATATGGTTAGGGTATAAGGTATAAGGTACATATGGTCTAGGGTGTATATAGTTAGGGTATAAGGTATTGATGATTTTGACGGTTCTAAGTTTTTTATTAATATATGTTCACTTGAAGTCATTTGAAGCCTTTAACGACAGGAGATCCCTTTTTAATTTATGTTTATGGTACGTGGTTAGGGTACAGGGTATATGGTGTAGAGTATAGGATATATGGTTAGGGTATAGCAATTAGCAAATGTCACTTTTTCATCTATGTTTTGAAAATCAAAGTAGGAATTTCACATTTAAATTAGGGTTAATACCCTAATTTGGCCCAAAGTTTAGCGTAAGTGTCAATTATGGCCCACTTTTGAAATTATTGGACAGATTTGGCCCATAAATTTCTTTGACCGTTAATATTAACGGTCAAACACTATTCCGTTAGTGACTCAGCAAAAAACAGCCGATGTGGCATGCTATGTCATTAAATAATATTTTTTAATTTATAAAAATAAATATAAAAATTAACAAATTAAAAAAATTCTACTTCACCCCTGGACAATTTTACCCCTGAACCCTAAATAATCAATATTTCGTTCACGGAACTTTCTTCTTCCGCAGCCGCTCGTTCCTCCGCTGATCTTCTTCTTCTTCTAACATTTCGTTCACTTGGCAAAATCATCCCCCCACCCTCGCATATCTTCTTCTTCCGCAGCCGCTCATTCCTCCTGGCGGCGTACTCATCATACAGTTTCCCGCTATCGAAGAACAGCATACTCCAATTCGCGCTCAAGCTCTGGGCCGACGAGTTTCGGTGTCGCGGCCAAATCTTTGTTGTTGAGCTCGTCGCAGACCTGCTTCGCGGACACATAATCACTGAGGAACTAGGGCGGCGCCACCCACTTGCCTCACAGGGGTAAACGCGCCTGCTGCTATTGACAAAAAACAAGAAATGACCCCATGAGTTTCTCAAAGAATTCGCCATCAACTTTTATGCAATATCACAAAGCAACAAAATAGTAAGCGGTTAAACATGAACTCTTCGATTGACTGGAATGGAAAGTTTGACTGCCCATCATCATCAAGTAAAAATGCTCCAAATGAATAAGAACGACTCTTTCTAAGACCGAGATTGGAACTGGGACTTTGACTATCGTCGATTTGGCCAGAGGAGAAGAAGCGGCGCTGGGTTTTGTTTAGGGCGGTGATTTGGCCAGGGGAGAAACAGGGGAGGGGTGGTGGGTTTGATTATTTAGGGTTCAGGGGTAAAATTGTCGAGGGGATAAAGAGAGAATTTTTTTATTTGTTAATTTTTATTTTAATTGAATTAAATTTCAAAATAATATTGTTTAATGATATGGCATGCCACATCAACTGTTTTTGCTGAGTGACTAATGGAATAGTGTTTGACCGTTAATATTAATGGTCAAAGAAATTTGTAGGCCAAATCTTTACAATAATTTCAAAAGTGGGCCATAAATGTCTTATTAGAAAAGTCAGGCCAAAACTGACACTTATACTAAACTTCGGGCCAAACTAGGGTACTAACCCTTTAAATTAACTATACTAGCAAAATCACAACTCATAAGGATATATGGTCAGGGTATAGGGTATGTGGGTAGTGTATAATGTATTGATGGTTTAGAGTATACGATCAACAACAGACACTAACTTAATATTGTCGATTGAGGGTAAGACTAAGTGTATATGATATATGTTATTGAGTAAGTTATGATTGAAGTCACAATAATTTTACTAAATTTGATAGTTAATCTTTAATGGTTCAATTTTTAGCATAATTCGAATAATTTTACAAATAACTTGTTTGACAACAATTTACTCAAGTTATTTGGACAATGAGTTATTTCGAAATAACTCTTTTTATCACTCTGCTTTTTCCAAATACCACACACCAAATACCAGATCTGCATGGTTATACTAAACGAGATACTTTAATCCAATTACTACTGAAATAATACTAAAATATCAAATAAACAATTAATGGTGTCTTTTGGTTGCAAATGTTGATATACCATTACTGTTAGCTAGTGTACTATACCAATTACGATTAATTACATAACAAGTTTGCAAGTCATACAAAGTGATTCAACATTTTGACTAGTTTTTTTTAATTAAGTATATATATACAAGGTAGAAAGAAATTGGTTAAAGAGTTTGAGAAAAATATTTTAAATTAGTATAATAAAATGTGTAAGTTGGTAACGAGTAATGAGCAAGTTACTTGATGCGCTGACCCGAACAACCCGCAACCTGATCCGCCCGCCACCCGCCCGACCAAAAACCTGATGAACCCGCAACCCGATTTGCCTGCAACCCGATTGAACCCGAACCTGACTAACCCGAACCCGATGAACCCGAACCCGATGAACCCACAACCCGATTAACCCGCAACCCGTTTGAGCCCGAACCCGATTGAACCCAGCCCGAACCCGCCGAATAGACACTTATACCTGCGTCCAAGCCAAGGGCTCTTGAATCTCCGAATCACCGAGATCTGTAGAGTGAAACAACAAGGAAGTAGACAATGGAGAGAGGGTGGAGAAAACAAGTAGGATGATGAACGACAAGCCTCCTTTGCCACTTAGAAGTTATCATCTCCAAATCTGGTGGCCATATCAAAGGGAAAAAGCTGAACCCACAAAGGGCGAGGACAAAGCCCACATAGGGGTCTGGGATAAAGTCAGTAACCATTGGTTACTGATCTATCAGTAAATGCACGCACACCGTAGATCTAGGGGTAGATCCATCATGTGGCTGGGCTGAATGTGGGGTCCAGAAGGGCATTTTTGTTCGTATATAAATTTTAATTTTTTATATTATATTCCGATTTTAATGGCTGCCTTTTCAAACAAGGAGACCACTTTTAATGATTGTATTTTCAAAGGAGGAGAGAGAATCATTTCTCTGCAACTCTCTTTTCTCTTTCTCCCTTCCTTCTCTCTTCCCTTTTCTCTCCTAATCTCCTTTTCAGATCTTTTCTCTTTCTCTCTTCCGTTTTTCTCTCCAATCTCTTTCTCCATATCCAGATCTGCTTCCTTCTCTTCTTTTTCATTTTTTTCTCCAGCAATCGACGAAGAAAAATTGCAGCCACCCTCTTTTATTGCGTTTTTCTCTTTATCAACTCGCTGGCCTCAATTTCTGTCTTTCTCCCTTTTTTGGTGTTCTTGATTGCGGAGGAAATGAGAAGAGATAGAATATGAGTTTTTTTTCCTCTCCCTCATTCTGTTTTTTTTTTCTTTTAAGTAATATATATTGATATTAACATACTATACCATACGGTAGTGTGTGGTAACGAAATATATATTGATATTACCACACTATACCATATGGTATTGTGTGATAACGAAATATATAGTGATATTACCGCAGTATACCATATGGTATTGTGTGATATTACCACACTATACAGTTATACCATATGGTATTGTGTGGTAACGAAATATATATTGATATTACCACACTATACCAGATGGTATTGGGTGGTAACGAAATATATATTGGTATTACAACACTATACAATATGGTATTGGGTGGTAACGAAATATATATTGATATTACCACACTATACCATATGGAATTGGGTAGTAACGAAATATATATTGATGTGGCAAAAATTTTTCACACCATATGGTATGCTCTTATTTAATACCAGTCGATACCATATGGTCTAGACTGGTAATAACTGGGAAAAAAAAAATTTGTGTTAAAAAAATATCAAAGTGGATATCATTTTGAAAGCACAGTTAATATGATCTAACTGTGAAAAAAATTAAATTCCGACTTAAAACGAGTGAGAAATCGTCCGTTAAAGATTAAAGGAAGGAAAATTGAAGGTCTTTCGAGGAGAGAGAAAGAGACGCTGATATGGTCTGGTCAAAAGTCAGCGTCAACAATAAATAAGGGTAAGTGCAATTTTACCTTACTGCCCTTTCGCATTTTATTTAAATAAGAAAGGGGTTTGACACGTGGGGACAAGAGAAGGGGTTACTGATGGGTTACTGACCCATCAGTTACTGACCTGATCTGCTCCCCACATAGGGGTAAACATGGTTGAAAAAAACAGAGGAAAAGATGCACTGGAGGAGAAATAAAAAAATAAGGAAATCACATGAAACGGAAAGGACAGAGGATTTGAAAAACTAGAGAGAGTGTGTGTGAGTTTTAACTTTTTTATTAGATATGAGTAGTTGATTTTAATTTGGGTCATATTTAAGGGGTGAGATTAAATAACTTTTTAATAAATATCTTATCTTCATTGTTTTACCTTGAAATTTTTTTCACAAATGGAACGGGTCCGTTATGATCTATAAAATGATATAGGTTCTAAATATATTTTGAGAAAAAAGTTTCGTACCAGCCATACCCTCGGTTACTACCCTAGTACCACTCGGTACCACCTACATTTTCACTCAAAATTTGAATTTTTTTGGCTAGTAGTAACGAGTTCATCGTGATTTGGTGAATCTACAAATTTCGGAGGAAAAATATTTTAGGACCAAATATACCACCCAAGTATAGGGTGGTAACTAGTGGTAGACGATGATAAAATGTGGTAAATGACAGTTAGTATATTCCTACTATCATGTATACATCCATTCTACACTATAGTACACTTTCATACTACTGAGATATAATTTTATGTACTACCAAACATTACCACTATAGTACGGGATGACAATAAATATATTTTCTTTCTAAAATATATCAAACTGAACCTCTTTTTGAAGAATACCATTAATATTATTTATATTTGAAAACATTATGACTTAAAATAAAATAGATATAGTTCATTAAAATTAATTGAAAAAAAATTTAGTTGTCTTTCATATGATCCTTAAAAGTAACAAAAATCAATAACTTAATTTAACAAACACAACTAAATAAGCCTGTAAGCTTACTTGACCAATCTAATGGAATTACTCCTAACAACTAAATACATCCTGGCTTATTTAAAGACTCAGCATGTGACAAATCACATTATTAGTAGTAACGAACATGATTATTTGAGTAGAAGTTACCTAGAGAAGAGCGTATTACGAGGGTCATTTCAACTGTAACACCCTAACCCGGGCGGTATTACTTTTACTAAAATGCCCTTGAGAAATAAAATACTCAAATCTTAAATTGCAGTGGGAAAATTTTTCATAAATAAAATATTGAAAAAACAGACACTTGTAGTTCAATCAACGCCCTAATACGTGGGCAAACTCAATACTTAAAAGCTCAAAATAATCTCAAGTCTATACTTATAATCATAAATGTAAATAACTAATAATCTCTAATATTGTTTCTTCTGAAAACCTTGACTAAGCGTCTTCCGTGACGCTTATACTGTCCTCCTTTAGTTGGCTGCCCTCGAACTCGCTGCTCACTAACTGCTCCTCTAGCTCATCCTCTAGCTCTTCAAACTGGTGAGTGAGATGGGGTCAGTCTACGCCCTTACGTTTAACATCTTATTAATACTTGATCACTTTACTTAACTTAGTGGAAGTTTTTTTGCACTTCCACTATTAAAAATCTTAACTCTTAAAACTGTATTCTTAAAGCTCAAATCTTCACTTATAATTCTTGACTGACACGGGGATCCCTCACTAGCTATTCCGGTTGCCAACTCATACGTATGAGAGCCCATCCAGGCTTTCCTTAAACTTCAACTTATAGTGGTGGCTCTTCACCACGATTCTCAAGATCATAATTGCTGCTCATCTTAAAAATATCACGAGCATAACTGCTGCTCGTCTTAAAAAGTCTCAAGAGCATAACTGCTGCTCTGTCTCAAAGATCTCAAATGGCAACGGACTGACACTAGTGACTAAAACTCTTAAAACGGTTTCACCTTCTTGAAGGTGAAGTACTTCTTAAAAGAAAACGTGTTCTTAAACTTCAACTTACTTATAAATAAAGCACACATTATAATATGTATAACTAGAAACATAAATCACACGCAATCACATGCATCAAATAAACACACAAAGGCAAGTATAGCACATAGCGGTCAATCTCAAAAACTGAAATACCGTAAGGCGTAGAATTTACCCCCTTTACACTCACCTGACTATATAGCTAAAATCCATCGTCTTCATGAATTAGGTAGAGGTCATGGAATATCTTAGCATTTAATCGACGATGCTCTCCGATCAACTCCATTCGTCTAGGTTGACAAAAATCAACCACAACAAATCGCCCAAACC